GGGAAAAAAAAAAAAAAAAAAAAAAAAAAAATCTGATGATTTTTTATGAATTTAGGGTCACCTAGCCCTCCCCATTCTTTTGGATATCTTAGGTTTGGCTGGAAAATGTCTCTTTCACTCTAGTTTTCTCTACAGAATTAGTCCCTTTAAAATCAGAAAGACAAAAATATGTCAAATTAAGCTCAAGATCAGAGTAACCTGGCCAGAGAAAGGCACTGTACAGATGCCCTAGATACTAATCTAATGAGACCCTCTGCATAGAAATGAAACAAAATGTATCTGTTAGTTTCAAGTTTCCCCTCACATTATCAAAATCAATAGTTGAGTTATTTGAGCTCCTCTCCTTGTTACCCAGGCAAACCTGAGATTTAAAGTGTAATGGCCAGTTAAAAGTTAATATTAAGTGAAATACCAGATGTATTTATTGCCTCAAAGATGGTGATGCTTCCTCATTATCCTATAAGCTACTTGGGTAAGTAGAAGCAGCAAATGACTGACTCAACACTGATTCCTCTTGGCCCACAGTAGGTTTTCAGCAAATATAAAAAGAGCTTCAATCAACACGTGTATTAAATTCTATTATGTACTGATCATTTTGTTAACATTTACAGTACAGACAAAAAAACTGTAAAGTCCCTGTTTGGGACATTTATAACTCATTACAAAAAGAGCACATTCATAGTTTAACAATAACACGAGGTGGGGCATGATAAGTGCCAAAGACAAAGAGGACTGCTAGATGCTAAAGTTTTTTGGGTTTTTTTTTGGTAGTAGTGGTTATTAGGTTTAGTCCATTTTTCCTCTAAAAACAAACGAAACAAAACATGCCAATCCTTTACCCAAGATTATTTTAAATTTAATCTTATACCTTAGGATGTCTCCGGTGACCACTAAAGTTACACCTATTCTTGTTGAAGGACTTTAAAATAAGAGCACCATGACCATATCTAATCAAATATCTTTTATTCATAATCAGCAGACCATTTTTAGGCTTTGAAGAATAACAAAGATTGACAGAGAGAACCTAGCTATAGATCTTCACAGCTGAAATTAAAATTTATTTAAAGCCATTTGCTAACCTTCTCAGGCTAACTTTTATACATGGAAGAACAGAAAAGTCTTTTCTTCTCAAAGTCTTTCTAACACTTTATTTCTTAGAAGCCTAAGGCAGAAGTTACTCAAGACCTACACATCTAATATAAATAACCATCTCTGCACAGCAGCCCTTTGAGAGATTTGTCAAGAGACTAACAGAGGTCTATAATAAGTCCACTCCCTCTCTCATCCTGGGAAAGGGCTACTTGGTATATTCTCCGCTCTCTAAGACCTAACAATCCAGGTACACAACCATGTCTTTCTGCTCTGTAAGATCTAACAATCTAGATACACAACCATGGCTACCTACTCTAAGATGTAACAATCCAGATACACAACTATGTCTAGGAAAGTTTCATCTGTCAACATTAAATCAATTTAGGAACAGTGAAACACTTATAAATTATGAAATATATTGTCCAAAGTGCAATTCCTGCATTTCCTGGCCAGGCAAAAAGTGAACTCCTTTCTAAGCCCCCATCAGTGTTAAAAAGAGAAATTAACACAAAATTTATGTGAGTAGCTGTCTGGAATATAAATAAGTCAGAACATTGGGCCAGTACGGTCCAATTTTGGATGGTGAGTTTGAGAATTCCTCTGTCAATGACTTTTTAAGCAGTTTAGACAGATAAACTTGGGCCCTTTTCAGAACTACCAGAAGTAATATGACAGGAAGGTAAGTTTCTGCAATGGGTACTTGCCTGGAATGATTCTGCGGACTGCTGGATCAGCATTCTCTTTCAGCCAGGAGAAAGGCAAAGAGACAAGAACACGACACACATATTGATTTTTCAATCTGCCTGCAAACAGACTGGCTTTTCTTCTCGCCTGCTCTGACCACCAGCCTGGCAGATTACAGACGGCCACTGTAGGTTTCCCCTCTGTGCCCCATGCCATCAGCTGTTTGCTCACCTTGACAGAACTTTATTATTGCTGAGGCCAGCAGACTGCCAAGATAGGCAAACCACGTGAGTGTGGAAGAGATAAACAAATGCAACCCAAATAACCCCACAATGTTGTGCTCATGAAGGCAAGAGACACTAAGCTTCCAGCTTATAAAATATGAGCAAACTTACAATGATTCTAAGGACATGTGTATTGCTTGGAGGAAGAAGGGGCACAAGGAGAGCATAGAGAATTGTGCTCTCAAGCTCCAGCTCTAGTTCTATAAGCTGGTATTATATGGCTGAAGAGACGTCTGTGGCCAGTGCTAAGTAGCGTTCCTGGGTGAAGACAGCTTGCCTAGAAAGCCAAGTCATGACCAGTCAAATGGCAGGAACTGAGAAGCTTCCTTTAATCAAAAATCAGGCCACACTCAGAACTCTTCAGAGCATTTGCATCCACTGTTACTCATCCAAGACTGATACCACCAGGAAGGAGAGCAGAAACACAGGCTAAAATCTTGATATCTTAGAGATCTCTTAGAAGGGAAGAGTAGTTATATAAAAAAGATCAAGAATGAAAAGAAAAATACCAGATACTTACTGTGATTATGTAGAATACTGTGTGTAAAAGTCACACAGGATTTCTTATTTGTGGCCACTTTCACCATTTAATTAAAAAAAGAATGAGATATATAGCCTTTCTTCCATTGGGTTCAAATAAAGGTTTGTTACTGTTTAATGGCAAAAGTGGCAATGCTCATCAGCTCGTTCAGTATCACAAATAAAAATGCTC